AACCGCACGTGGCGGCAAGGCCAGCCTCTGCAGAGACTCCATCAGGCCTCCAGAGTCCGCTGGTGGGTACCAGCCCTGAACTGCCTACCCTTCCCAGGACACAGTGCGGTACATCCAATCCTCATAGTCAGAGGAGATACGCAGAAGCAGAAGGAGCTCCTGGGGCCGATGCCAGTTCCAGCAGCACTGTGCAAGGATGACCAGCCCCTTCCAAGATAGCCACACACAACGCCTAGAAACCGCCTGTCGTGATCAAGCTTCCTGTACCCCTAACTAGAGTGCCACAGGGCTCTGCAGCCTCTCAGGAACTGTGAGCAAGAGAACGGATGGGAGACAAGGAGCCACAGCTCAGTAGCCAGCCCCGAGCTGAGAGGCCGAAAATGAACTGAGAGCCAGCAGAGCTCCACTCCAAGGAGGGGGTGGGGGGTGCCCAGCTTGTCTGAGATCCCTCCAAGCCTCAAACAAACCCCACAGTGAGGGGGAGGGGTTCCTGTCCTTGGCAGGTTTCCCCAAGAGCAGAGGCCAGCTCCTCGCACACCTTCACATCTCCCAGGCTTCCAGCATGGCCCACAGGGGCTGGGCCTCCTTCCAAGCAGGTTAGTTAGTGTGCAGTCTTCAGAGGAAGTCTCCAAACCTGCCTGGCACAAACCTCCTGACCAAGAGGCACGGCTGTCACCAGCTGCCCTAGGACCCACCCACTGATGGCTTGGTCCTGGGCCCTCACCTTCTTCCAAAAGATCCCACGGCCTCAGTCCCCTGAAGACTGAAGATGGCCAGGCAGCCTTAAGTCTCTCTTCCTGCAGGGGCCTCGGGACACATGGGGATACATAGAAAACAGCAAGCATGTTGAGCAGAGCATGGGTATGCAGAAGTGTATGTGCGTGCGTGTATATGTGTATACGGGCTGAGGTGCGGATCCTGTCTGTACCCCAGTGGGTTAACTCTTGAGCTCTTCCTTGCTGTTTCCTGTGGTCCTCGCTCCACTTTCCTCAGAAAACTGCTTCCTGCTAGCTGCGACGCCCCACCTGCCTCCACGTGGCTTTTCCAACCATGCTCCAGAGTTCTCCCTGAGGATCCTAAAACCACGATCTCTGGGACCACTGAGACTACTCCAAAACCAACCAACTCTGGGCCTGGGAGGAGCCTGGGAAGTTCTACAATGCTCTGTGGTGGCTCCCATAGCTGGGGTTGAAGTCTGCTTCCCCAACCCCACAGTTCCCTACCCCGTGGCCCCAACTCCACCGCAGGACCCACGCCGCACCCACCGGTATCACTCCTTCCCTTCCCCAGCCCCCTTGGCCAACCACCCAGGAGGGCTCAGAGCTACAGCTCAGTTTGGCCCATAAATACTTGAGCATCCTCGCTTAACTAACTGCCAGCACTTTGTGGGTCTGTACACATCTGTCTGGTAAACCAGACAGGCAGGTTTACCAAAGAAGGCCTGGACTGGATGTACCCTGTGACAGAGCTGAAGACCTCACCTGGAAATGGAGTTTGGGATGGTATGGGGAATCTCCTTTATAGCACGGATCCTCACAACCAAATTAAAAGCAAAACAAGTATTCACAGTAGTGGTGGTCTCCTGGCTAAAAGGCCTAAGGCAATTTACTGGGTGTGGATTACTACATCTTGGACATTTTTTAACTTTTCTATTTACATTTTATAATGCACATATTCGTATGTGGTGTATGTCATAGGCCACCACTTTAAAGGTGGACAGATAGTTGTGCACGGTGGTGTACACATGTACACATGTACACACACACACACACACACACACACACACACACACACACACACACAGAAGTCCCTGGTACTCAGGAGGATGAGGCAGGAGGATGGCTTGAGACCAGGAGTTTGAGGCCAGACTGACAGCAAAGTCTAGTCTCAAACAAAGGAGAGGTGGGGCACATGTCTGTCATCCCAACATTAGAGGCTGAGGCAAGAACACTGCAGTTCAAAGCTAGCTCGTGTGTCCCAAACAACAAATAAGAAGTAGACATATTTACGCTTGGGCTCAAGCTGTTTACCAATAAGAGGAGCAAAAATCAGACTATTAGATACAAAGGAGATGGCAGTGGCTGGAAGTAGACTGGAGTGAATGGAAGACAGCCAGGGAGGCCAGAGTGCAGGGCAGAGGGAGAGGATATGAGAGGAAGCAGCCGGAGCACACAGGACCTCGCAGATCTATCTCAGGACTGAGGACTTTATCCTGGGAGCAATGATCACATTCACCCCTGGTGGCACAATCGCGCCTGGCTGAAGCGGAGGCTTGGTTTCCAGGGGCCTGGGATGGAAGGCTGGAGGTAAGCACTATAAACCAGGAGGAAGTGGTCCTGCATTCCCTCTGGACTTGAGTACAGAGTGCCCTGGGGACATCCAAGGGTAGCCGAGCCAGGAGGCAAACATCCCCTCCCAGACAGCACACAGCACTTAGCTCCTACAACATGCTTCTTAGGGAGGGAACCCGGATCTTAAGCTCAACTGAGTCCACGGGTACCCAGAAGGCAAAGACCAGCAGAAGCTGAGCAGCCCAGGCATAGGTATAAGAGATCTAGGAGAATCCACCTTACGGTTCATTCAAGGATGCTGAGCTGTGGGCTGATCCTGGTAAGAAACGAAGCTTTGGCCTTCTCAGAGCCACTTAGGAAGCCAAGCAGACAGAGAAGGAAGGAGTGGAGACTACAGTCAAGAGGTATGGATGTAAACGGGAGACTGGCCAGGCACTGCTGTGGGACACAGCGCAATCCAAGAAGTTTGCTATTTTGTTTTGAGACAGGGTCCCACTATGTAACCCAGGTTGACCTCAAACTCTTTTATCTCCTGCATCGGCCTCCTGAGTGCTGGGATCCCATGCATGTATCACCCCACCAGTTTCGAGATGGGAGAGGAACCCCTCACAAGAGTAGCCAGCAGTCACAGGGAAAAAGGGACAAAGGGCGGGGTTTGGGGGGGGGGGGGGGGAGCAGAGACCCAAAGGACCGCTGAGCTAGAAAGAGTGTGGTTTGGTAGGATTTCTCAGAAAAAACCAGGCTCTATGACAGCTTCCCAGGCTGGGGGCAGTCACAGCTGGAGAAGGACCAGCCATGGCATTGCCCTCTGTAGAAACCACTACCTGGAGGGCAGAGCTGGCCTACTGGGGATGTCTAGCCAGCTGCCACAGCTGTTCCCAGGTCTCCAACAGCACAGGGCTATACTGAACTGCTCCCAAGTTTCCAGCTTCATTTTCCATGGAAACAAATGCTACTTAAAAAAATGTAATGTCTGTTGACAACGCAATCTTTTCCTTCTTCCATATTCTCTCAGAACAGACCACGACAGCAACCACGGCCGCGTGCTCACTTATTGTATGTTCAATGTGCAGCACACTGTGTGTTGTTGCTAGGTCCTGTGATGGCCTGGTCTTACAGATGGGAGGGGAGGGGGGGAATGCACAGATGAAAGGGGCGGTACGCAGCAGTGAGCTGAGCTGGAAGGACCTGCCTGGGTGCCCTGGCTGAAGCTGGAGAAAGATGCACCCCCAAGCAGGTCTTTTTTCTCTACAACCTCCTGACTGGTGCTGGAAGGTGTGGGTGCAGCCACTGAGGGACAGGGAAAGGAGGGTGAGCACAAAGTGGGGGGAGAGAGAGGGAGGCTGGCATGGTGGCAGAGAAGCCACTGGCACACCCAGGACATTTCCAAGGCATTCGTCTGGCGTGGGAATGTACCAATGCTGCCGGGCATGAGTATGTATGGGATGGAAGGAACTGAGGATAAGCAGAGCAGCTGGACACCAGGGCCAGCACTGGGCTGGTTTAAAACAGGGGCAGCCATCACCCACCCCAAACCACACTGCCAAGCACCTGAGTGACCAAGAACCTTAATTCCTATCTTATAATATCTTTCCATCATTAGTGAGGATTGGAGTTAATGCATGGGTCCAAGCCAGCACATCATTTTAATGAATCGAAGAGTCCTATACCCCCTTCATACCTTGTAAAGGATTATGTGGTCCATTTCTTTTTTTTTTCTTTTTTTGAACTGCAGAGGAACCTGCACCTTGGCTGACAGCGGAATGTACTTGTTCATTTTAAGATCAGAAAGTCTGAAGGACAGACCTAATCAGCATCCTCTTTGCAGATAAGAAGACAGAGGCCAAACAACTCGCCCAACTTGAGTTAATAGCAGTGACTAAGAATAGTGCCTTTAATAGTGCTCTGAAAATCTGCTCACCAAACCGGAATTTCAAAACTTAAATACCTCTGGGAAACCCAAACAAGGACTTTGATCCTGTCAGAGTAATAGTCCAGTGAGTTGTTTTTAGATCTGCTGCCTGGAGCAAGTTTTGGTAAAAGGATGAAGACAGGTTGGGAGTAGCTCAGAGTTAAAACAAACTTGATTGGGGGGAGGGGGGCAGGGTTGGAGCACACAATTGAGCCCACTTTACTGAGGACTTCACACTCACAAGCACAATCCGGGGAGCTGGTTCTGTATAAAGAGACTAGTTCCATGCCGGGGTGGGAAGGCAGCTTCCAGCCGTGGGTGCCTGGCTCACCTGGCTTCTATCCATCTTGCCAAATGAGCTTGGAGTAACAAAACAGATTCCTTCACCTACCTCCATCCCTGCGAGACTCCAGTTCTTTAACAAAACATCACTGCTGGGTGTTGGGCATTTGCTATTACATAATCCTATTTCAACATACAATTAGATTCAGAGTCAGGCCTTCATTTCTCTACCTGTTTATGGGCGCTGGATAGGATCTAGATCTACCCAGACTACAAGATTAGCTAGAGCTGGGAGGGACAGGCAGAGATGAGGAGGGGGCTGTGGCAAATGCTTCTGGAGGGCCTCTTCTGGACACCAGGACAACGAGCCTCCTCTTAAACAGGGACTGAAATCAGGCCAAAGGGGAGTCCAAATTCATTCCAATGCCCCCAGCTGCTTCCCAAACTGACCACACAGTCCTCACACACCCCCACTTTTTACTTCTGTGGCAGTTAAGTCTGAGACCTGGAGCCCGGAAATCCCCACTAGGTTTCTTCCCAAAGCACTGCAAATCCAGACGAAGCCACCTGAAGAGTCTGTTCAAATGACACCAGCCAAGAGAAAGGCCTGGGTATGTGGTGTGTCATCTTATAGAGTTATGAAGACTAGACTGCCCCCTTGAACTTATCCTTCCCTCAGCCTGGCCATTCTTCTTCCCATTTCCTTTTCTTCCGTAGATCAGAGACAAGAGACTGGAGGGAAAACGAAGGCTCAAAACCCCCCCCCAAAGCCACTTGGTTGCCAGTGGAGAATCTGCAGGCAAAGCCAAAGCCTCCAGCGCCCTGAACCTAACATCTGCAACTGGGCCTCCTGTGCCCTGCCTTCAAGTCTCAACTTTGAACTTTTGTAACTTGAGGGGATGGTGGGCTGGGAGGTGGAGGAGAATGACAAAAAGGGTGACATTGATCAAGAGGAACTGTACTTGGAAACTGACATGTTGAAATGAAACCCCTTTTACAACTACTTGCAAGATAATTTTAAAACTTTTTTTTTTAAAGCTTGAACTTCCCAGCTTAAAGATCCACCCCCAAAAAGGACTTCCTTTTCTACAAATGTTCTTGAGCTGAGGCCAACCTCTACTAGGCTCAAATTAGAGGAAGAGCACAGAGAAAACACTCTGGAAAGATCTGCAGCACACCAGAGTATGAGTGGCTTCACACTTATGAGAAGTAACCAGGGCCCTTCCTTAACTCAACAAGGCTCAGTAAACTTTCACTTGTAAAGGGCCAGACAGAAAACTTTACCAACATACAAAACCGAAACTTCACATGGGTCATTTAAAAACACAAGTGAAAACCAATTTCCACAGTCCTTTTATTGATGAACTCCAAAACATAATGAATACATTTTTTATAATGTATCTGCCAACGTGACCAGTTTTGAGGGGGGAAGAGGTAAGGTAACAGTTTCCTTAATTGAGATTTAAAGTTAGGCAGTTCAGCGGTGCTTTGGTGACTGACCTTGTGTTATCCTTATGGCCACCAGTGGACCCCAGGAATCTGGTCCCCAGGTCTCAGGGCTCTAATGGACGACACAACCCTGGTAGTCAGTCTATACTATCTACATCTCTGGTTCTCATCAGGAGAGCCCAGCTCCACTGTACACCAGAGGCTCAACCTTGCCAGGCCCTGGATGATTCACCCCCAGCAGGAACCGGTGGCACTCACTGCTTGGCCTCCCCTGGAGGAGGTGTTGGGGATTATGTGAGATGACCCAGGAGGTGTTATTAGTATACTATGTCCCAGATATAAGAGACATGCCAGTTCTGCCAGTGTTCTGGCTGCAGAGGAAACAAACAAACAGAAAATGCATTACGTCAAAACTTCACAAATCCTGGCCCAAGAGTAGTTCCTGTTTGTCCAGTTACCTAAAAACGTGACACCCCACAATACACCCAAAGGGCCAGATTCATTTCTGCCTACTGAGCTCAGAGTACGGCTTCCCCCCAAACACCAACTCCACAGTGCCAGTGTTCCACTCACATCAGGAGGCCATCCAGGCTTTCCTTGATCGCTGTGGATAACAGGGAATTCATTCTCTTCAAGAGGGGACATTACCCCAACGGGGTGGGGGTGAGGTGGGGAGCTCAGCCATGATTACTGAAGCAGGTGCATTAGGAAGGCCAAGAGCTAAGACTGAGTTTGCACAGGAGTTCTGCCACTTCCTGGTCATGCCCTCAACCCTTCCCTGTCTCAATTTCCTGTGATGTCACAAGTGCTGTTGTGTGGCGAAAATGTTAAGTGATGCAACCCACTCAGCCAGGAAGGGGCCCAGTTGGCCTCCCGGCCCGGTATCATCCTGAGAACAGTCATATACGGAGCACCCACCGGGTCTGGATCAAACCAGTTTTGTCCCTAACTGATTAAACAGGATTACTGTCTCCAGTTTACAGGAAAGTTCTTTTTTTTTTAAGAAAAAAGAAAAAAAAGCCCCTGCCAGGTTAAGTTAACTTAACCTATTCCAGGTGGCAAAGGCAGGCAGTACCCTACTACCAGTGGGTAACACCCAGGCCTCTGTGGTTCTTGAGGCCCCCCCCCCCCCATCTCTCAGAACCAAAACTACACAGCAGAGGCAACAAACTTAGGACAAGTCCTGAAAGAGCCCTGGCCAGTTGGCCTGCGCTTGACATCCTCAGGCCACTTGACCTCAACCAGGCACCAGGTCCACCTGGTGAAGGTGGCTCAGTGGTAGAGCGCTTGCCTTGCATGCATGAGGTCCTGGGTTCGATTCCTCAGCACCACATAAGCAGAAAAAGCCAGAAGTGGAGCTGTGGCTCAAGTGGTAGAGCTCTAGCCTTGAGCTGAAGAGCTGAGGGACAGTGCCCAGGCCCACAGCTCAGGCCCCAGGACGGACAAAAAAAAGAAAGAAAAGAAACCATGGATACGTAGCGTAAAGGTCACAGTCCGAGCTGGCTTTCACCAGGGCACAGACCTGCACCGCACCCCAGTCCTTAGTCCTGGAGAAGAGATGGGCCTGAAGAGCCAAGAGCAACCCGCCGATCTGAAGTGGACAGGCGCAGGGGGCCCTCGGCTGCGCTCGCGGCGGCTCCCCAAGCCCGCGGGTGCCACGACACCCACCGGGCCCCACCTACCTTCGGGGAGCGCCCGGCCCCGGAGGGCGTTTCCCCCGGCGCGACACGGCCGCTCGGCCCTCCCGGGCAGACACCGAGGTCCTCGGCTGGGCCAGGCCCTCAGGTCCCGCTCCAGCCCCGCCCGCTGGCCAGGAGGAACCCGGGGAGGCCTCACGCTCCATTTCCCCCTCGCCCCGCCACTTCCGCCGGGATCGGCCTCCGGGCTGCGTCCCGAGCCGGGTACCGGTGGAGGAACCAGGAGCAGGGCGCGGGGGAGCTTGGTGGAGACCCTCACCGCGGCCGGGGCATCGGCGTGGGCCCCTGGCCGCCCCCAAACCACAGGCCGTCGGGGCCGTGGCGCAGACTCGGCTCCCCCCACCCACAGCGCCGGCGGCCGCGGTGACAAAATGGCAGCCCGGCGCCCAGCAGTCGTGCCAGCGGCGCGCGCGGCCCCCGCCCCCCCAGCGGCGCCCGGAGGCTCGGGCCCCCCCTCACCCCCAGGCCTCGCCGCCGAAACCGAAGAATACGTGAAAACAGCCGGCGCCGGGCCCGGCCCCGCACGATCCCGCGCGCCCTCCGGGGCCCCCGCAGCCCCGGGCCCGCGCTGTGGGGGAGGGGCGGGCGGCCGCCGAGCCCGAGAAACATGGCTGCTCCTCCGAGCGCGGCGTCGGCGGGGACCCGCCGGCCCGGACCCGAGTCCGGAGGTGCCCAAGGTGGGTGCGCGGGGGCCCCCGCGGGGCGCGGCGGGCGGGCGGGGCGCCCTCCGGTCCCTCCTCCCCCGCCCCTTTTGTCCCTCCGCGAGCCGCCTCCCCTCCCCCGCCCGCCGCGCCCCGCCGCGGGCCGGGCTGTCGCGGGGAACGCGGGCTCGGCGGCAGAAGCCGCTCCCGGTGCGGTGCGCCACCCCCCCCCCCCCCGCCCCTCACCGCGCCCGGGAAGTTTAAGAGGCCGGCTCGGAGACGTTTCTACCGGCACCAGCGACCTCCCACACCCGGCGGGTGTCCCCGCCGCGCGGGGTCCCCCAGAAAGTCAGCGGGCGGACCGCGCGGCCCCACCACACCCAGAGCCCCAGCCCGGCTGCCGGGCCAGCGGGGAGGCCCCGGCGGAGGTCGGCGGGCTCTAGCCTCTCCCGCCCCGGTGGCTGCTGCGGGTGGGGCGGGGCGCGGCAGGCAGACCCCCCTCTCCCAAGTCTCGTTGGGGTTCGGGGAGGAGCCGGGGAACCGGGACGCGAGGCCGGCCTGTGCGGGGCCTCGGTCTAACGGGCTACCGGGGCGGACAGGTCACCGCCCCGGGGCTGCCCAAACCCCCACCCCCCGCGGCGCCCCGGGCCCGGCGCCAACTCGCGGGAAAACACCCGTGTCAGGAAGCGAGGGGCGACGGAGATAAACAAGGGCGTCCGGGTCGCCGCTCCCCGCCTGGGGCTCCCCCGCCTCGGGTTCCTCCAGCCGAGCCCCCCGCCGCTGCCCAATGCACAACGGCGACGGGGCGAACTCTCACCCCGGGGCTGCGCGTCCTCCGCGCCCGCGTGGACGAGGCCCCGGCCGGCCCCGCCGCGCCCCGGCTCCGGGCAGTCTGCGTCCGGACAAAGTTTCCCCGAGCCCGCGTATTCGCCGGGCGCCGGGGGACCGCGGGGCGACTCCGCGGGAAGGGCGCGCGCCCCGGGGTCCAAGGCCGGCGTCCAGGGAGAGCTCCGGGCCCGGGCGCCGGACGGACGCAGCCTTGGGGCAACTTATAGTCGTGGTCGCCGGACGTGAGGGAGGCGCGGGGGACCACTAGGGCCTTCGCACGTTCAAGACCCCCCCCCCGTATCCTCCCATTCCCGGGGAAGGGCAGACAGCAGCGAGTGGCCCCCCAGTGGGGTGGAAAGTGAGGGAGGACGAGGAGCAGAGGAGGGTGGCGGGGAGGGAGGAGGAGAGAAAGGGCGCGTTCACGAACACTACAAAGTTACAAATATGGCTCCCCCGTCCCTCGCCTCCTCTCCGCACAGAAACGAAGACGCACTTCAGACCCGGGCCGGGCTCCGCGGCGCCCCCTCCCCACGCGCCCCCCGGGGCCGCGGCCCGCATTGATCGGAAACTAAGCTGGACTCGCGGAGCCCAAAACTTATTGTGTGCGCGGGCGGGCGGGCGGGGGAGGGGGCGGGGGGCGCGTTTCTAGAACGCAGCCCCCCCCTTTTGTTGTGAAACCAGGGAGGCAGCCCCCCTGTCTCCCCCGTTAATCCTCCCCCCCCCCCCGCCCCGCGGGGCCGTGGGAGCCGCGAGCTCCGGGGAGGAGAGGGAGGTCGCCCCATTCTCTCCGGGCCCGGACGCGTGCGCCGCGGGCCCCGGGGGGCGCCCGCCCGCCCCCCGCCCCGCACCCGCGCCCGCACACGCGGGAGCGCACGCACAGGTAGCCGCACACCAAGGGCAGCGGCGGCGGCGGCCGAACACGCTCGGCGGCGCGGCGATCCCCCCACTGACTTGGCAATTCATTTGCAGCCCGACCCCCGAGCCCACACCTCCCGGGCGCCCCCTCCAAAATAAAAAGTGCCGCCCGCGACGCACACGCACACAAAGTACGGAGAATGGGCCGCCAGGGGTATTTTTGGCAAATGCTCACATCCGAGGGCGTCCTGTTCCGCAGCTCTAAATGAATCCGCTTGTCCATCTCCATCTTCCGCGCTCGCTCGCTGGCTCTATTTCTCTCTCTCTCTGCAGAGGCTCCCGCGCCAGCGGAATTCAATCAATAAACCCCGAACCCGCGGCCGCGCGTTTTAGGACTTTGAAGGCTCAACCAGCTCCGCTCGGTCCTCGAGCCCCCAGCACCGCGGCGCACACGAACCTGATCGCCGGGGAGGCGGGAGCTGCGGCTTCGAGCGCGAGTGGCAGCAGCGTCAGCCAATCGCCGAGGAGGGTCTCCGGAGCCAGCCAATAGCCGCAGCGGCGGCGGGGGGAAGGGCCCAATGGGCGGGCTGCGCTGCCGGACGGGGAGGCTCGGCCATTTGGTTGCGGCGCCGGAGACGGACCCTTTAGATTTCGGGGCGGCCGCGGAGCGCGGCGGCTGCTCCGCGGTCGAGCGAGGGGGGTGGGCGGAATGGCGGGGGAAGGGAAGGTGACCGCACCTCGCCAGCCCGCCGCCGCCTCGGCGTCTGGCCGGGGGCGGGGCCGCAGGTGCGTGTGCGCGGGGAGGGGCGCGGCCGCGGGGTCGGGTCGGGGTCCCCGCTGGGGGGTGGGGGGTGCGGGGTGGGGGGGCCGGGCGACGCGGGGCCGGGATGGGGAATCTGGGGGTGGAGGTCGCGAAGGATGGGAGCCCGAGAGGGGATCTCGGGGGCCGGAGATGTCGCGAAGGTTGGGAGGTGGGGGGGGGTCCGTGGGGTCCACAGGGAATGGGAAGCCTGAGGGGGTGGCGGGGGGACGGAGGGCCGGGGGGGGTCGCGGGGCCCTGGAGGGAAGGTCACGGCGTCCGCGGAATGGGGGTCACGGGGTCCGTGGGGGACGGGCAGCCTGGGGGGACTCACGGGGCTTGGGGAGCGGGGTCGGGGGCTCGTCTTCCGGGCCCGCGGGCCGAGCGCCTCATTCCTCCGGCAGGGTCGGGGTCCCCTCGCCGCCTCCGGGGGGACTTTGCCGGCCCCCGGCGCCGGGCAGTCGGAGGCTCCAGTGTCCGCCGGCCCCGAGATCTTGCTCAAGAAGAAATCAGCGAACGTGGCGGACCGCGGACCGCGGCCGAGCGTTAGGCGGTGGGGAAGGAAGGAAGGAGGGCGCGGGGGAGTCGGGTCCCTCCCGGGCGCCGAACCTCACTTTTGTGTCCCGGACCGTCGCGCGGCTGGCGGATCTCCCAGCCACCGCCTGGCGAGGAGCTCGGAGCTGCCTCCAGGTGTTGGGGGTTTGCTTGCTTTGTTGTGCTTTAAGCCACGTTCGAGGGGTCCGAGCCCCTCCCGGGTTCCCCACCGTGCACCGGCCTTAGGACCCGCGGCAGCCCCTGACCCTGGGAGGTGTCTGGCATACGGACCCCGGTTCATCCCCACTCACCCCCTTCCTCTCAGTGTGGATTCCGCACGCCCAGACACAGCCCCAACCCCCGGGGACTGTCGTGCTTTGGGGAATCTTTGTGTTTGTTTATTTTTGAATTATTTAAGTTCAGGGGCGGGGGAGGGGGGTTGGAAGGGGAGGTAACCTGTGTGCAGACCACGGAGTTACAGTATGGTTATGTAACACGGACACTATTTCCTCCTTCTAGGTAAAAATAAATAAAATTTTAGGAGAAAATGAAAAGCCACAGAATGTAAACAAAACACTCGTAGGAAAGGAATGCTTACCGGGAGCAAGAGGCTGGCAGCACTGGCTGATGATGGCCTGCCCAACTCAAGTCCCGAAAACAGGCATTTTACTCCAGAAATTCTTTCAAATAAAACAATAAATGAGGTTTGGCTGCCCATAGACGATTCCTCTCAGTAGCCTGGGAATGGAAAATAAAAGCAAAACACGGTTTTATTTAATCCGAGTATAAATTGTGTAAGTTAGTTTGCTCATTTAGCTGACATTTCTCATCCTCAGTTCTTGTCAATTTTGATGAAGGCTTTTTGGGTAACTGGAATTTCTTCCTCTCTTTTTTCCCCCCAGTTGTATTGCGTTCTTTTTTAAATTTTGAGGGACCCAAGTTAACCTCCTTTTGCCAAAGAGTCCACCGATTTCCGGGCTTGGGACTGAAGGTTATTTTTAAAGCATCCTTGCCTCTCCGATTCCTTGTGAGTTTGGAGTGTAAACCGTGTGTAACAGAAGTGCTGAAGTTCTCTGGGATGGTAAATGCTCACTGGCAACTCTGAAAAGTTTCAGCCCGGGTTACAGGCATATTGCTTAGCCACGTGATGTGGGGCGGTGCCTTTCCACAAGAGTAACCCCTTCAATCCAGCCAATCCAGTACAGCCGTCCTGTCCAGTTGTGCTGTCCAGCTGTGCTGTGCCTCCACCAAAGCCCACAGCTCTTTGACAGTCCAAGCCCTGTTAGGGCAGATGCAGAAATTGTCAGAGGTGAAAGATCTCAAGAACCCAGAGTATTATTAGAAACAAAGTAAAATTACAATTGGGAAAAGTCAGGGCCTGATCACAGAGTCCAGAGTCCACAACGCTGGCCACCTCTTGGTTTTAGAACCCTTAGCTTTTAAAAACCTCCTTGATGACAGCTTTTGTGTGAAGTGTTGGTAAATTGGAAGATGTCTTTGCTCCACTAAAGTCTTTACAGGAAATGCCAAAAACATTTTTTGCACTGTCCATTTTTTCCAATTAAAAGAAAATCCCTTCTGCTTGTTGTTTATTTGTAAGAAAGTTTTAAATATGGTTTTGGTTATTTTTTATTAGAAATAGGATAGCTGAGCCATGAGGATGACAAATGTCAAAAAGACACTTATTTTACACTTCTTAAATTACATATTATTGCACATTACAATAGTGAGCCAGTTCTCTGCATGGCCTGTATTTCAGGAAATACAGTGAGGAAAGAAGTCCTGGGGGGGGGGGGGGGAGGCCAGGCCAGGCCAGGCCAGGCAGGATGTTCGTCCATCTTAGTGGGTACAGGTGGAATTCCTCACTGCTGAGGGGCTCTACAATAGGAGTTAGATTATGAACGATGGAGAGTCTCCTAGCTCTAGAACTGTTTGGTTCCCATTGAGAATAAATGAGATGGGCTGCAAAGATTTGAACCCTCACAGAGAAAGTTGACTCTCAGCTAAAGATGCCCTCCACAGTATCTTACAGCAAGAATCCTTCCAACAATCGAGCAACCTGCTTTGTCCTCAAAGATGCTAGCAATGGGTGTCCTTAGCCTCTGATTGTAGGGTAGAACTGCGTTATGAATACCCATGTCTTTCCTGCCAGCATAGCTCATTTGCCCTTGATTGGTCTAGATGCTCTTGTGTTCTAGGTGCAAATTTTAGTTCCCCAGCCTGAAGCTGTGACCTGGCCAAGGCACTCCACCTACCCAGAGACAAAGATTTGGAAAGACTCCAGCTTAATTACTGTCCCTTTTGTCTTCCTATATAAGCTTTTTACAAATGTAGATTCTTTGGAAATCCACAGAGACAAAAGTGGCAACTACTGCATTTGGATGTGAATAGCAAAGGAATGTGGAGGTCTTAAAAATTCTGAGTTTTCTTTTGCTAAATAAAGCAATGTTTTAAAAAGGTTTTTGTTTTTTTTAAAGAAAAGTTACCAGTCTGTTGGCTCATCCTGGAGAAAAAGCTCTGTTAGATGGAAACAATCATTACTTGTGACTAAAATTTTTATTGAGTGAAGCTGGATTCTGGTGGCTCAAGCCTGTAATCCTAATTTGTTCAGGAGGCTGTGATCTGAGGATCTCAGGGCTCAGTTCAAAGCCAACCTGTGAAAAAAAAAAAAAAAAGCCAACCTGTGATTCTTCTCCAATGAACCATCAAAAAAGCTAGAAGTGGAGCTGCGACTCAAGTGGTAGAGCACTAACCTTGAGTGAAAAAGCTCAGGGACAGTGCCCAGGCCCTGATATCAAGCCCCAAGACCAGCACCAATATCTTTTAAAATAGAACGAGGGCTGGGAAGGTGGCTCAGTGGTAGAGCGCTTGCCTTGCATGCTTGAGGCCCTGGGTTCGATTCCTCAGCACCACAAAAGCAAAAAGCCGGAAGTGGTGCTGTGGCTCAAGTGGTAGAGCACTAGCCTTGAGCTGAGGGAGAGCGCCCAGGCCCAGAGTTCAGGCCCATGACTGGACCCAAAAAACAAAAAAATAAAAATAAAATAGAACGAAAACATTAAGAAAGTATATAGCTGGACTCCAGTGGCTCATGCCTGTAATCCTAGTTACTCTGGAGGCTGAGATCTGAGAATCGAGGTTCAAAGCCAGCCCGGGCAGGGAAGTCTGTGAGACTCTTATCTCCAATAAGCCACTCAGAAAATCAGAAGTGGTGCTGTGGCTCAAGTGGTAGAGAGCTAGCCTTGAGCTGAAGAGCTGAGGGACAGTTCCAGGCCCAGAGTTCAAGTCCCACGATCAACAAAAAAAAGATACATATTGTACTTTCTTAGAACTTTGATGCATTTACTATTTACAAACACTATCCTAATCTTTAGCATACATAATAAAATTATCCTCCCAGTCTGGCTTATGATGGCAATAATCACTTGTACTTACAATTAATGATCTATCTATAAGCTCTTGAACTGGAGTTTAACTTTATATCTTCTGAGACCTTAGTTAATTTTTGTTTATATCTTTAGTTGGTTGTTCCAGGAGAATATACGTGCATTTAACCTTCTCTGAAAGTTCTGGATTCCAGTAAATTAAATGTAAAAAATTTGCATGCAAGCAAGCGAGTAGCATGGTCGCGGTGGCATCTCTTTCTGGCAGAGCCTCACACCGTACTTGGACCTATTTTATATGCTGTCTTGAGCTGAGGATGGCATCACTGTATATATATTTATTCAAAGGTGGCACTAGACTAGATTCATGGAGAGATGCAGTGGAAAAACAGACAACTCAGGGCACAGTGTTGGAAGGTGTGTGGAGATATTTCTGGTGGTATCCTGGCACAATTTATAAAAGCCAACGAAAGAAAATACATCCCTGGGGCTGGGAAGGTGGCTCAGTGGTAGAGTGCTTGCATTGCATGCATGAGGCCCTGGGTTCAATTCTTCAGCACCACATAAGCAAAAAAAAAAAAAGCTGGAAGTGGCGCTGTGGCTCAAGTAGTAGAGCTCTAGCCTTGAAGTGAAGAGTTCAGGCCCATGACCTGACCCCCCCCCCCCAAAAAAAAAGAGAATAAAAAAGAAAATACATCCCTGTGGCCCAGAGGAAAGCCAGGGAGGCTGGTAACACAAGGGCTGACCAATGCCTTTTGCTGGGCATGGTGATACTCCTCTGTAATCCCAGCGCTGGAAAATGGAGGCAGAAGGATCTGGAATTGGAGGCCAGCCTGAGCCAAGTTAGTGAGACATGATTCAAAGTGAATTGGTGGACAGTGATTCAGTAGGAGGAAACAGGTATTTGTGTTGTTTGCAGGGTCTTACACTGTTCTACGTTTTTATAGGTTTTCCTGTTAAGTCATTTTTGCACTCAGAAAAACCTGTCCTTGAGCTGCTTATAGGTATTGAGGAATTGAACCCAGAGCTTCATGCATGCTAGGCAAGCAAGAGACCACTAAGCCACATTCCCAGCCAACATTTGTCTTTAATAGAAAGTAGAAGTGACTGGTATTTGGGCTGCTTGTGCTGGCCAGAATTCTTGATGAAGACAGCAGGAGTTTGTCATGACCAACACAAGCAGAAAATGCTTCATAGAAGAACAACATGCAGAGCCGGGCGCCGGTGGCTCACGCCTATAATCCTAGCTCAGGAAGCTGAGACCTGAGGATCGCAGTTCAAAGCCAGCCCGAGCAGGAAAGACTGTGAGAGTCATCTCCAATAAACCACTGAGAAAACCGGATGTGGTACTGTGGCTCAAGCGGTAGAGCACTAGCCTTGAGCTGAAGAGCTGAGGGACAGTTCCAGGCCCAGAGTTCAAGTCCCACAATCATCAACAACAACAAAAGAACAACTTGCAGAAACAGGACGTTGGGCCCCTCAGAGCACAGCCAAGATGGCTCAGTGGAGGCCCCCACACCCGACAGCTCCACGCTCCCCACTGCTACTGTGAGCTCAGCATTGTATGAACCACAGGTCAGAAAGACACAAGGAGAGGGGAAGATATGTCCCAGGGTGACAACTTGTTCCAAAATGGCCTGGGGTGCGCACTTGGAGCTTTCTTTAAACTTGTGCTTGTGCCTCCATTATTTACAAAAAAGGCAACGTGTTAAAACGACATTCATGTGCAAAAAAGGTAACTTGCTAGTTTTGGTGAGAGTGTGGAAGAGCTATTCCACAGTGGAACAGAAGTTAAATTGTGCAACCACTTTCTGGAAGGATTACTGCTCTGTGGATTAACAATTCCATACCTAGAAATTCACACAAAACAATTTGTGTGCTCTTAGATTTATTAAACATGGTGCTAAACTGGAGAGGACCC